GGCGGCCGTGAGCGTGCCACCTCAAAAAAAAAAAAAGCAAGGCTTTCCAAATTTAATTATGGAGGAAAATTTTAGCATGCCAATTAATTATTTAAACTACATATTCTTATTGAATTCCCATAGCCATCTTAAAGATAGGTACTACTGTCACCTTCATTTTGGAGATGAAAAAAAGAGACCCTGGAAGGTTAAATGTAAAATTTTAAGTTATGTGGTAGGGCCAGAATTTGTCTGATTCTAGATCTTTTTTTTCTACATTTTTTCTCAACAAACATGATGCTGTCTCCATACCCCCACCTCCCTAGCCCTCAATAATCTCTTCCAACGATAAATATGAAAAAACTGCCTCATCAATCCTATCAACTGTTGATGGGTCTTTTCTGTTTCTTGTCAATTTCCGTACAAGGCCATATGTTGAAACCGCCATAAGCTTATTAGGGCGAGAGAATACAAAATATGATGTTTACCAAACAAAACATGAGAAGATACCCTGAAGCTCAATGCCAAGAACCACTTTAATGTCCAGTGGTACATCCAAGCAGGTCTGACCCTTTCTAGTTGTGCCTGGGTCCTTATGTCCCTGTTTTGTTTTGTTTTCCCCTAATTAACTAGCATGTAAATGTATGACATTATATTTCTAGATTTCAAACTGATCCCAAATTAAAATGTCACTAGAATAAAGGTGGTTTACTTTTTTAAACCTGCAACATACGACACAGGATATAAAAGAAATTTAAGTCACAGATGTATTTATTCCCTTTCTCCTAATTAAGAAAATAACCTAAGTTGCCTACCTCAAAACATGCAAGTTGTTAACAGAGCTGAAACTAAACTTCACAAGTTACTAGTCTTTTGGTAAGAAAATGTACAATCTGATAGTAAATGAGTAATATGTTAAAGGTGTCTCTCTTTTTTTTTTTTAAAGACATGGAGGCGGGCCGGGGTCAGTGGCTCAGTCTGTAATCCCAGCACTTTGGGAGGCTGAGGATTGCCTGAGCCCATGGGTTCGAGATCAGCCCGGAAAACTTGGCGAGACCTCGTCTCTACAATAAATCAAAAATATTAGCTGGGCATGGTAGCATGCACCTATAGTTCCAGCTACTTGGAAGACTGAGGTAGAAGGATTGCCTGAGCTCAGCAGGTCAACACTATGGTGCCTGTGACCATGCATGCTACCGCACTCCAGCCAGGGCAACAGAGTGAGACTACAACTCAAAAAAAAAAAAAAGAGATGGAGGGAATCTTGCTCTGTCATACAGGTTAGAGTGCAGGGACACTATCATAGATCACTGAAATCTCAAATTCCTGGGTGCAAGTAATCCTCTTTCCCCAGCCTCTCAAGTAGTTGGGACATGTGCCACCACACCCAGCTAATTTTTTAAATAATGCTGTGTAGAGATGGGGGTCTCCTTGTGTTGCTGACTGGCTTCGAAAACTGGTCTCAAGTCATCCTCCCCTTCCGCCTCAGACTCCCAAAGTGCTGGGATTACTGCTAACAACACAAAGTGTTATTCCTGCAGTGACAATTTAAAAGCATGTGTGAGCCACCATGCGTTGCCTAAGTGTCTTTAGTTACAAAGAGTGGCAGGTGAAAAAAGATGAGAACAGGACTAAAACTTACATCTTCCTACCAGTGCAAACATTTTTACACAACACTGTGTTTTCTTTATTCTTAGTTTATCCTTTAATGCCTAAGATTTGAGCCTTTTACTATGTGCCAGAAGGCTTTATGTATTCTCATTTAGATCTAAAAAAAAAGACTCAAGGAGGGGTACACTACAGTACTACTATTCCTATTTTATAGATGGAGAAACCAATTATCTTTAAGTATTAGAGCTTCTTTCTTATTTTAAAGACTAGGTATAATACAGAATCTTTTTTTTAAAAAATGCATCTATTTTTTTAAAAAGTTTGCTGAAGTATACTATTTTAACTGTCTCACTCTGTGAATACAATTTTCTGAAAAATCTTTAGTAAACAGTGCTAACATATACTAAATCACCATCAAATCAAAATACCATTCTTTCATGAGTCTTTTCCTAGTCTAATCTCCATCTATAAATTAGACACAAATTTAAGTTAGTAACTAAAGAAAACTTACGGATCACCAGCCCCTGATAAATCTGTTCCATTTTCTTCATAATCTGGAAAAAAGTCCTCTCTTTCAAGTAACTCTTGATATTTCTCTTGATAATCTATGAGACAACATAGGGAAAAAACTAAATGCTGGAAAAATAGCATATGATTACCAGTTACTCCTAAAAATTATTTTTTAATATGACTTCTCATTTAAGTTGGTCCAATGTATAAATAGTCATAAACTCCTAATTATGTAAAGAAATAGCTTGTATAAAACTTATTTTCTAGTTGGTATGCTTTTGCCCCTGGCATATAGTGCATGCCTATAGTTAATTATATATAACACTCTAAAGTTGGAAATCAAAGTCACTGTACATGATGCACAGGGTACATTGCCAGTATATGCTATTTATATTATCTATTGTTGCTTTCCATCAGAGAAAACATTAATTATGAGACTGTTGGGAAAGAACACTCCCTCCATACTCCTGCTTTTCATTCCATAAGGAAGGATTTTAATCAAATACTACTAATTTCCAGCTTCCTTAAAACTCCTCCACATGAAAGTAAAGTAAGTTATCTGGTAAAGTTAAGTAGGTAACAGTAATTGGTCCTTGTTCCTCAGGCAAGGTTAACATATCAAATGTTGACTTAGCCTGTAATCCCAGCACCTTGGGAGGCTGAGGCGAGTGGATTGCCTGAGCCCACAGGTTCGAGACCAGCCCGGGCAACTTGGCGAGACCTCGTCTCTACAATAAAAATAAAAAATGAGCCGGGCATGGTAGCGCATGCCTATAGTTCCGGCTACTTGGAAGGCTGAGGCGAAAGGATTGCAGGTCAAGCAGGTCAAGGCTGCGGTCGCCAGGAGCGTGCCACTGCACTTCAGTCTGGGCAACAGAGTAAGACTCCAACTCAAAAAAAAAAAATCAAATGTTATGCGCATAGGGGATAGGGAAGGCAGCTCCCTGGCAAATATTTCAGCTCTGCCAACTTTGCCTTCACTGGGTCTTTAAGGCAATGTACATGAAGTTATAGCTCTCAATCTGCCAACTGTCTTAAGCAGAATTACTGGATAACTTGTAAGATTAGTGTATCTGTATGGAGTCCTTACCGCTGAATAATAACATGAATCAGTGTATATTAAGACTAGTTAGTTACCTTAAAATCAGTTTCTTATGAACAACTCAAATTTTGAAAGGCTATTATGTTAGACTGAGTAAAGACCATGTTTTTCCCAAACCGTCAGTCTCTATAAAACTAATTTCAGCTTTAACAGTTGGTGATATTTTGATATTCAATTTTGACAATTTAGAGACAATTTAAAACATAAATTCTTCCTGCTACAAATGCTTGAGTACTAGATAAAACAGACACTCTTTCAAATGTATGGATGAGTTCACAAAAAATAAAAATCAAGTCATCAGATTACAAATAAAAAAGGAATTGAAAAGCATATATAAACTACTGCAGCTGCCTCACATGGGAGGTTGACAGAAAGTGTTGGTCTCAGTAACCAAGAGGTTTCGATTTTAAAACCAACAGGTCAAAAAAGTAAAACAGGAAGGGCCCAAGCAAAACAGGAAGACGGAATCTATGATCCATGCCTATTCTCACCCTGCACAAATTTGGAACTCTCAAAAGGCTGATATTGCAAGCAAAAGCTTAACCAGGAACAAACAAAAATACCTCAGTGGTGTGTTTATCTAAGAGAGATAGCAAGGATGCTTGGTTGTCTCTGGGTTTGGAGTGGGAACACCATACTCTGTAAAGACTGGTTCTACAGAGAATTTTTTAAAACAATGGTCCAGCACCTCAAATTCCTACAATCTACATAAAGAACTCCTATGATAAGGAAATAGAAACTTGTTACAAATCAGTCTTACTCCCTGTGACTCCTGGCAGAAGCAAATATAAAACCATTTTGGATAAAGGTTCCTAGAGTCCAAGCCACAAGGAGTTTTCATGAAGAAAAACATAGTTAAAGCACTATACTATTCATACAGGGCCATAATATACGTAATTTCAAAAGGTATAGGGGGAAAAAAGTGTGTGTGGAGTGAGAACAAATGATAAAGCAAATAACTGTTAACAAAAAGTACATCTGGGTAAAGACATATTCTTTGTACAATTTGTACTTTTGTGACTTCTGTAAGTTTGAAACCAGGCAACAACTTTCTTTGTGTGATGATCAGAAACAACAGGGTTAGAATTAAAAGATAAAACAAAAATATGAAGCAGAAGTAAGCATGTTCAGAATGATGAGGAAAAAAAAGAATTGGAAACTTTGAGAAAAGTTTTATTTGAAAACAGAAAGAAAACTCAGTTTTTTCCTGTAAATCTGTAAGATTTCAATTACATTGAAGTAAAGAAGATTAAAAAAAATCCAAAGTAGAAGCAAGAAATTGAAATCTGTCTACATTATTTTTTCTTTTTTTTTTTTTAAGTTGGGGTCTCACTCTGTCACCCAGACTGGAGTGCAGTGGCCGCTCCCGGCCACCGCATCCTTGCCTGCTGGGCTCCGGCGATCCTTCTGCCTCAGCCTTCCAAGTAGCCGGAATTACAGGCATGCGCTACCACGCCCAGCTGATTTTTTGATTTATTGTAGAGATGAGGTCTCGCTGCCCAGGCGGGTCTCGAACCCACGGGCTCAGGCAATCCACTCACATCAGCCTCCCAAAGGCACAGGATTACAGGCTGAGCCACCGAGCCCAGCTACATTACTTTTTTCCTTGAAAAGAAACTGAAAAACCAAAAGGAATTTCGATAAACAAAATGGCCAGTAGAAATAATTAAACAGCATAAACATATTAGACAAAAATGAACAAAATAAATCAAGGTAACTTTGAAGAGTAAGTGAAAAGGAAAGATTTATCTTAACATGCACAGCAAGATTCACAGTATGATAAGAATAATTAAAAGAGTATAGTAGACTCGGCGTTGGCCACTGCGCAGACCAGATTTCCCTCGCTCGAAAGCCTCTCTCTGCTCCCTCCGAGACCATGTCTGACAAACCCGATATGGCTGAGATCGAGAAATTCGATAAGTCGAAATTGAAGAAGACAGAAACGCAAGAGAAAAACCCACTGCCTTCCAAAGAAACGATCGAACAGGAGAAGCAAGCGGGCGAATCGTAATGAGGCCAGCGCCGCCAGTATGCACTGTACATTCCACAAGCATTGCCTTCTTATTTTACTTCTTTTAGCTGTTTAACTTTGTAAGATGCAAAGAGGTTGGATCAAGTTTAAATGACTGTGCTACCCCTTTTCACATCAAAGAACTACTGACAACGAAGGCCGCGCCTGCCTCTCCCATTTTCCGTCTGGCTGGCAGGGAAGGAAAAGAGCTTGCATGTTGGTGAAGGAAGAAGAGGGGTGGGACGACAGTGAAATCTAGAGTCAATCAAGTGGCCCAAGGTGT